GGTGTGTAACTATGTGATGGTCTTGGCCCTTTCTGCTCCAACGTCCAGGTTTAACTACTCCAAAGAGTCTTCTCACTAAAAGAGTAGATTTTTATGCAATTAATTTGACTGATACAAACTCCAGCTCTGTCTTAATCCCCACCTAGGTCAGCATTACATCAAATGAAGATTCCTCTCAAGTGGATGCAGGACAGTGTGGTTGGTGGATGTGCCCTTTTCAGTATCTGTGTGGCTAGAGTGAATTCATGAGAAATTCTTGAGTAAACTCTCTGCAGCAAAATAGCTCCTTCTGGACTTCCCTGGTGGTGCAGTGGTTAAGAATCCGTCTGCCAATGCAGGGGACATAGGTTTGAGCCCTGGTCCAGGAAGATGCCACATGCTGCGGAGCAACTAAGCCCGTGCACCACAACTACTGAGCCTGCGCTCTAGAGCCCATGGCCCACAACTACTGAAGCCCGCACGCCTAGAGACCGTGCTCTGCAACAAGAAAAGCCACCGCAATGAGAAGCCTGCATACCGCAATGAAGTGTAGCCCCCGCTCGCTGCAGCTAGAGAAAGCCTGCGCACAGCAACGAAGACCCAACACAGCCAAAATAAATAAATAAATTTATAAAAAGAAGAAAAAAATAGCTCCTTCAGCTGCAGTTGCTGTCAAATGGCATCTGTTTTTTGCAACTGGAAATGAGGCACTGGCTGTTTGGAGACAAGCTTATGTCACATTCTGGTCTATGCTGACGTTTTTAAGAACTTGGCTTTGCAGAGAATTAAATGAAGCCGTCTTGAAAAGGTAGAGTTTCCTTCATGAAAACAGTATCGTTTTCATGAACGCTGTTTTTAAAGTAAGAATAGACTTCAGGCTTAAGTGGTCAACCACAACATAAATAAAAGGCCAATCTTTAGTGCCAACAGAGCCTATTTGACTTCTGCTTTGGGCAATGAGAAGCATTCATTACAGGCTATTGACCCTCAGCAGTCTTAGTAGAAGGAAGCATGGAGCAGCAGTAGAAATCATGGCTGCTTTGAGGTCACATGGATTCAAGCTGGGCGATGACACTGAGCTGAGTGACACAAGGGACACGGGAGGTGGCCACTGCAAGGAGCTAAAATCGAAGGAAACGGAGGCCCAGAGATTAAGTAGAGTTTAGGAGCCAAACGGTGGCATTAAGAAGGGATGCCATCCTAAGGTACTAAAAGATTAAAGTAGAAGGTTTTGTATCAGGAGAAATTCTATTTGTTCAGGTACAAGGTGATGGCAATCATAATCCTATTTTTGACTTGTATTAGCAGAGAAGCTAATTGTCTGATACATAACTGTAGCACTAGACCTAGTAGAAAAAAATGAGTGTACAACTTGTTTCTTGACAATACAAAGAAGTTTTTCCTTTACTAACAAAAACTGAGATTTCAAGAATAAAAAGTATAGAAACCAGGCACCTTTATCCAGTCACTGCATATAGCGAAACATGTTTTAGTGACTGTACTTAATACAAGGTTGTTTTAGTTGCTTCTTTGCCAATTTTTTTTCTCCTGTCACTTTATTTATTTGGGGGGGGGGTTTATTTTGGAAAATGTCAAACCTACAGAAAAGCTGGAAGAATAGTACATTATTAACTCTTTCCTCATCAATTATAACATTTACTATATTTGCTTTCTGCGTCTCTTTAAATATATAGGAGCAATTGTGTTGGCTCAAACATTTTAATGTGAGCTGCAGACATAATGACACCTCACCCTTAAATTTTTCAGGCCCCCAAAATATCCTTTATAACTTTTAATTAAAATATCGAATTAAGGTTCAAATGTTAAAACCCTAATCCCCGGTGTGATGGTATTTGGAGGTGGGGCCTTTGGGAGGTGAGCAGATTTAGATGAGGTTGTGAGGGTGGATCCTTCATGATGAGAACAGTGTCCTTCTAAGAGGAAGAGACCAGAGCCCCCTCCCTCTCTACCATGTGAGGACACAGCGAGAAGGCGTCTTTCTGAGCACCAGAAAGAGGGTTATTATCAGACACTAAATCTGCCAGTGCCTGGATCTTGGACTTCCCAGCCTCCAGAACTGTGAGAAATGTTTGTTATTTAAGCCACCCAGTCTGTGGTGTTTTGTCACAACAGCCTGAACAGACTGAGACAAATGTTCTATAATCCATTCTTGTTATTCTTTTCTTTCATCTCAAACGGTCCCAGATTTGGCATTTGAAGCCAATTTTTGTGTCCCACCAGTCTTTGGGCATTTTTTTCTTTTCTGACTCAAGATGTTCTAAACTCACCTTATACTTTATCTGCCTCCAACCTGGAATCACCGATTTTCCCAAACATGCCTGGGTCTGTGGAACAGTATTTAGAAAACAAGATCAAGGGAACTACGTGTGCTATTACTAGGTTATGGCTTCTAGGCCCTTTCAGAGCACAGAGCCAGAGCTGGGGTTGGGGGGTGGGGGAAAGGTGGGGTGGCCTTGCGAAGAAAGAGAGAGGAAAATGCACACACATTCCTACAGGTATCTCCAGCTCAAAACTAGTAACACGGGGGTCTTCTTTATCTTCCTCCACTTTCTATCTCCCTTCTCCCACTGTGAGTAACCTAATTTACAATGACATCAACAAATTTGCTCAATTTTTTAAATCTATGAGATTCAGAATTACATCCTAAAAACAGTCTCAGGAACATTTTCACCTTTAAACACTTGAATTTAACATCAGCGTTACCATATCATCCCAAATTATCCCGCAGAAGTCGCACAGAACAGACTAACAGCTCTTTAAATAGCAACAAGAGATAATGCACCTATATATAGGACTCGAATTGGACAACTTAGCAATGGTTGTTCCTTGAGAGGACCAAAGAGGACAAATTTAGAACAGATTACGGTGGCTTCTGCTTTAATTGGTTGAGACTATTTGAGGTGTTTTCCTTTTCAAAATTTATCCTGTTTGACGTTTGGCATTTGTTTCAAAGCAACCCAGTGGACAGTGTGAGAAGATACACATAATGGTTAATGAGGTAATAGTGGCTGATGGGTGAGTGTTCTTTGTGTTATTTATACTCTCAGCTTTTGGGGATGTTTAAATTTTTTTATAATAAAAAGATTTAAAAATATATATTCCTGTCAAATCAGAGTAAGCATTGCTTAAATGGCTAGCCCCAACTCAAATAAATGGCAAATAAGATGTGGCTCTATTATGTGAAAATAGGAAGTATTGATGACAATCTAGCTTATCTTTAAAAAACTGTCTAAGGAACTTTCATTTTTTTTGGACTTAAGTTCCATGTTTTAAAGGTTAGTCTACATAGCTAGATTATCCTCCAATAAATAAAACTTCACCAATTGTGGAAAAAGATTGACTTAAATTCTGCCTATCATTTTGCCAAATAGCTTTGTCACTAGAGGGAGATTGTATGATTAAAATATTCTTATAGAACGGATGCTTCATATTCCCCTTGGGATCAAAGTCCCCTCACAGACCGATGTGGAAACCATCAGGCTACAGCATAACATGGCATCTGTCACGGCCAGATCTTCTGAGAGGCCAGGCATGATTTAATACAACGAACAGTGTTACGTAAGTGAGCCCCAAACTTGCAAAATCCAACCATGCAGAAGACAAAAACAGGAGAAACGATCAGGGTCTGCAATGTTGAGGCAATTTGAACGTATGAAAGACTTTCCAGGTAAGAGGAAAGCTGAACTTTGAAAAGAGGCTTGCCACTTTATGTAAAAGCATAAAAATAAATTAAAAATGACACTGGGGATGATGAATCTTCTGTCTAGTAAAGCTGGTTCCCCTACCTCATTCTGTCATAAACACAAAGGAGCTAGAAAAATAAAAAACTATAACTACATAGTAGGAATGGGGGGAAATGTACATGACCTCTGGCTTCTCTTTCCTGAGACTGTCATCACGATCAGGAGGACTTCTGCTTCTGGCCACCAAGTTGCCCAACTGCTGTCCGATGGGGCAGTTGGGTTAACCAGCTCACACACTGACCAAAAAAAAGCATTTTCACAAAAACTATAGAGCCTGGGCAGGCTTCCCAGGCCAGAAGACAAATAACCACTGCCATTAATGTGCACATGGAGGGACTGCATTTTAATAAAAGTGGTCATGACCCAAGATGAGAAATAGTCTGCAAATCTGGAGCAAAAGAATCTGGTTGAGCTTGGAAATAGCCAGATCATGTTAAGAAATTTGCCTCATACATCTTATCAAGGAAACATACACGACATTATGTACTCTAACCGAGGATGCTTTGTTAATTCAGTGCTCAAATTAGTACTGGATGATGCAAGAACTTCCATTTTCTGAGGCAGAATTTCTGTTCTTTCAGAAAAACAAAGTCTGAGTGTACTGGGATGCACTACTCATCTGAGATATTTAAAAATTAAAACTCTAGGAGTAGCATCTTGCTATGGCTCTTATCTTACCACACTGGACCTGCATGAAACAATCATTACAGCCTGGGCAAAAGAGACGTGTCTAACTGGCTCCAGGGCAAGCCCAACCTGGCAGCAGGATGGGCTGCCCTCTCCAAGGACCAAATTTCTGGATAAGCTATCTATCATTTTTTAAATTTAAAAAAATCGCCATTTTTTTGGTCCCAGCTTGACGTGGTACAGAAGGATGCCAAGATGAGGATGCAGGTTAGGCAGATTTCAAGATACCTACATCAAAAATTCTGGATCCGGGCTTCCCTGGTGGCACAGTGGTTGAGAGTCCGCCTGCCGATGCTGCCGATGCAGGGGACGTGGGTTTGTGTCCCAGTCCGGGAAGATCCCACATGCCGCAGAGCGGCTGGGCCCATGAGCCATGGCCACTGAGCCTGCGCATCCAGAGCCTGTGCTCCGCAATGGGAGAGGCCACAACAGTGAGAGGCCCGCATATCGCAAAAAAAAAAAAAAAAAAAAAAAATTCTGGATCCCTTGTAAGCCATGCAAAGAAAACAGATTCACTAGGTGGTCTCAAGGTTGAAGTGCTGGAGTCGTTAAAAATAATTTTACAGCAAGTTTTCATAAATATCTCTTCATTTATTTCAGCCAAGATCTCAAAAACCAAATTGTACCAGAAAGTGTCAGCAAAAATTATCCCTCTCTTAGGAAGTCTGTAAGATTCCAAAGTGACTGGGTGTGAGCACATCTCTGTGTGCAGGAGCACATCATGCTGCCAGGTGTCCACTGGAGGTGGATATCTAGATGCAGGACAAGGGAAGAATCCAACTCTAGGCTCTTAAGCTGTGTTAAGACATGGTCACTTCTTGGGCTGGAAAATTCAGATGCCAATTCCAGAGATGAAGCTGTTCAAAAATGGTCTGAGTTGAAGCTTAGCCATAGGTTTGGAATTCTAGGAAGATCTGGTAGTTGTATTCTTGGCCCTGATCTCTGAATTATAAACAGTGTTATTTGGTTAGGCAACAGAACTGTGAAAAGAAGGACTACGGCAGAAAAGCCAGTAGTTGGTCAGGAACGTCAAGCATCCACGTTCCATGTCCTTATGCATCACAGATGCAGCCAGCTGTGAGCAAACTAGGTTCATTTCTTCTTTTCAGCTGATGCTCTAAGTCTTGATTTAAGGATCAGTAGAGACCAAGCAAGCAGTAGCAAGGGTTTTAGAATTAGTTTCCTTCTAATGACAGTATTACTATAAAATGGATACAAATAAACCAATCCACCAATGGAAAACCATGAAAAACTGGTGATATCTGTAACAGGTTTTATAGTTGTAAATTGTTTACATGACTTTATCACTGAAATATATGTCACTTGCTCTGAAATAAGGCAGTAGCTTAAAGAAATGATCACTTACCTATCTCCAGCATCTAAAAACATCCTATATCATTAAGATTGATAAGCAGTCAATTCTGTCTGTGGCCTACCCTGAATACTACAGACTACGTACCATAATGTTTTGCCCTCCGCAGATAAAGAACAAATGTACATGACAAGTGCGAATATACCATTTCCCCTGTTCAAGTGAATAAAATTACACCCACTATATTCTACCTTCCCCCGACCTGACCTTCAATTTTTAGAGAATTAGGCATGTCTATGTGTTGAAATAAGTACAACTCTTTGTGTTATAGGAAGATAAGAGCAGAGAATAATTCAGCAGCCTATACTTAATATTTATGAATCATATGGAAATTCTTGGGATGGTACCATTTTCAGTCACAGAACTTATTTTTAAATTAATTTTAAAGACCCCAAAATTAAAGTTTAAAAAACAAAAATAAAACAAAAAGAGAACACGAACAGCTATAGCTGTCTATATGCTGCTAATTCTAGCAGCCAGAGAGGAATTCCACCAAATGTCATGAGGCAAAGGGCCTTGGTGTTTGTTGTTGGCTGTCTTGGAGGAATCCATCCATGACTCTCCCATTTAATGGGCCTCTGGTCTTAACCTATCAAAGCATCCCTCTCCCTAGAGGAAAAGACTAGTAATAAATACTTAAGTATAGTGTGTTATCTAATGCCCTTTATTATCATCCTAGAAAGTCTCAGTAAATATAACTGTGAACTACTTATCGGAGTAAGTAGTGCCTGTCAGTGGTCACTCTATACTGATTTATTGAATGAGGAATACCTTGAACTTGACCTCCACTTGTTGCTCCCCCATCTTGGAAACTTATGACATTGATTAAGCCCCACTGGTGACTAACTTAGTGACTAATTCAAACGGGGCCGGCAGGGGCTAACGCATAAGGCTTATGACATTAGCACTCAGGCATCCTAAAGCCTTTATCTGGGCCAACATAAGTTACCTAGTTACTTATACAAACTCTACCCCACAGCCTAGATCTGGAAAAATCAGGAAAAATCAGCGGGGGAGAAAAAAAAAAAAAGTGAGCTCAGCACCCATAACACACCGCATACCACTCCTTCTGCAGCTATCCCTAGCCAGCACGTGGGAAAGATTTTATTTGTCAGCGCGTTTCACTTTTCCTTGATCCTCTACTTTCTTAATGGCTGCTTGGATAGCCTCTTGGTTGCCCAGGAACTGGTGAGGTCCAACGGCATGCAGGTTCTCATCCAGTTCCAGGAGAATGGGGACTCCAGTAGGAAGAGTAATGTTGATAATGTCTTCATCTGAGATACCTGGAGATTAAGACAGGGAGGAGCAAGGCGTTAAAGACAACCCAGGAGGAAGCTGTGTTTACTTAATTAACTACACATTCACTTAGTCCCATATTAACTGCATGTTTGGAACCACACCAGGTACTGTGAGGGATTCCAGCTATAGTTGCTGGAAGCCAAGGGCGTCCCAGAAGTTTTATTTATTTACTTACTTGTTTGGTTGTGCCAGGTCTTAGTTGCGGCAGGCGGGCTCCTTAGTTGCGGCATGCGAACTCTTAGTTCCAGCATGTGGGATCTAGTCCCCTGAACAGGGATCAAACCCTGGGCCCCCTGCATTGGGAGCGCAGAGTCTTATACACTGCACCACCAAGGAAGTCCCTCAGAAGTTTTTTTTTTTAAAAAAAAGCTAAGACAGAAATTCAAATTACATTAAATCTTGGGACAGTAAATACCTTTTGGGGCAAACTGTTCCTGGTTGTTTCCTATCTAAATCTTAAAGAAATGAAAATTATTCTCTCCATGCTCACATGTGTGTTACTGGTTTTCCGCAGAAATCAATCTTGAAAAATCTGAAAGTGAACTAGGGGGGTTTTCCGGTTTTTTTCCTTTTATATGTTGTCCCCAGGCTGGCTAAAATTAACCTCAAAATCTAGTTCAATTGATTAGAAAGTGGCTGGTTTTCCAACACTGAGTGAGCATGGGATGCCCTGGGCTAGACCCAGTCAAGGAGGAACTCTCCCCTAGGTGCTCAGGAAATACAATCAAGAGGAATCAAAAGAAGGTTGATCGACATGCCTTGTAAACAGGTCTCGTTCTCCTGCTGTCCCTTAACAGCCCAACTGCTAGGAGAGAAAGGTATGTGTAATGGACAAATCACCTTCAATTCTTTTTTTATTTTTTAAAAATTTTACTTACTTATTTATTTATTTACTTACTTACTTATTTTCGGCATGCTGTGCGTCCTGCGGGATCTTAGTTCCCTGACCAGGGATTGAACCCACGCCCGAGGCAGTGAAAGCGTGGAGTCCTAACCCCTGGACCACCAGGCAATTCCCTCAGTTCTTTTTTAAATAGCCTGAATCACGGAATTCCCTGGTGGTCCAGGGGTTAGGACTCCGCGCTCTCACTGCCAAGGGCCCAGGTTCGATCCCTGGTCGGGGAGCTAAGATCCCACATGCCGTACAGTGCGCTCCCACAAAATTTTTTTTAATAAATAGATAACCTGAATCATAGGTTGTTCAATTTTGACCAGAAGAGCTGGAGTTGTAGCAAGGATGGTAGCAGCAGTGGTCGTGATAAGGTTTCTATTATTATGAGTGTTTTTAAAAAACAATAAACAGCTAACATGTACTGAGTACATTCCGCATGCCAGGTACTCTTCTAAGCACTTTATGTGTATTAACTTATTTAATCACCGTTGCAATCCTAGGAAGATATGCACCATTATTTTTCCACGTAACAATTTCTGACACACAGAGGTTAAGCAAACAACTCAAGGTCACACAGGCAGTAAATAGCAAAGCCTAGACTGAAACGCAGGTGTATGTAACTAGTGCACAATGTCTTTCAAGTTCCTCTGAGTTCAAAATGGGCAAAGAGAAGAGAGGAGACCTAAAAAGATGGAGTTAAGCCAATTAAAAGGTGACTGAAAGTATTCAAATTATCTACTTTAAAAACACAATTTTATTATATAGACTTCTAAATTCTAACCATATACTTCTGTTCTTTATTAATAGAAAGGACCCAGGGCAGAGCAAGTTCTGAGGGGAGTGCAAGGGTCCATCTTGGAAGGTGAGAATGGCAGAATAAGTTAGTAGCAGTTAGTTATCAATGCACTGTGTCATTTTAACTTTGGTCATAACTATGAGCACCAGTCACAGAATCATAGCGCTGGACCTCAGCCGCTGGGGTGGTTCTTTATTAGAATCTCATTTCTAGGTTCAGAAGAGCTGCCTTATGCACTCTTATGCACAAGCTGTATACTCAAACAGCTATGAAACAATGGAAAGGATCATAACTTGGAAGTCAGGGTCTATTCTAAGTACACATCCCATCTCCTCCTTTGCTAGTCCCCTTCCAAATACTAACAAGTATAATATATAACTTTAGGTAAGTAACCTCTCTGGGCCTCCACTGCCTCTGTCTAATTAAAAAAAGAAACACACACTCTTCTCTACCACTATTACAAACCCTGTGGGGCAGGAGGAATGGACTTACAAGAGAACATACATGAGAAAGTAGAGCCCAACAAGTGCTTCTTCTTTCTGTACTACGAATTCTCTTCTAGGTAGAAGATTTAAAGGGTAGGCTACTAAAACACTCCTTTGCCCTGCCAAGCCCCCATCCCCACACTGCAACCCTACACAAGATTACCATCCCAAACTAAAGCTGGCAAGAACAGATAAATTCAGACCAGACAGCCAGCTGTTTAGCTGGGAGATGACTGCCTGGGATTCTAAAAGCCCTCGGACCCTCCCGGGTCAGATCTGTCAGCTGGCTGCATAGTAGCTGCCACCCACATCCCCTGGAGATAGCCAGAGAGGAATGCAACAGCACGTGGTTTAGAGCCAGGTGACCACTAAGGATATAGAGAAACTGAAATCCTAATACACTGTAAAATTAAGAGTATAAAATCCTGTGGAATCCTTGGATAACAAGTCTGGCAATTCCTCAAACAGGTAAGCATAGAATTACCATGGGACCCTGCAATTTCACTCCTAGGTATATATATATATACCCAAGAGAAATGAAAACACATGTCCACACAAAAACCCGTACACGAACCCTCACAGCAGCATTATTCATAATAGAAGATGGGAACAGTCTAAATGTCCATCAACTGATGAGTGGGTAAATTAAATGTGGCAGATCCATGCAATGGAATATTATTTGGCAACAAAAAGGAAAGAAGTGCTGATGCATGCTAAACATTGACAACCCTTGAAAACATTATGCTAAGTGAAAGCAGCCAGTCACAGAGTACATATTGTATGAGTCCATTTCTATGAAATGTCCAGAATAGGCAAATCTATAGTGACATAAATAGATCTGGGGTTGCTTAGGGCCAGAGGGAATGGGAGGACTGGGCAGTAATAGCTAGGTATGGAGTTTCTTTTGAGGGTAATGAAAATGTTCTGAAATTGACTGTGGTGATAGATGGGTAACTCTGTGAATATACAACTCTGTGAAAATACAGCTCTGTGAAAAGCCACTGAACTGAACACTTTAAATGGGTGAACTGTATGTCATGTGAATTATACCTCAAGAAAGCTGTTTAAAAAACTACTAAACAGATCCAGAGAAGTTAAATAAAACTCTTCGAGTCACCAGACTGTTAAGGTAGTAAAATTAGACCTTTTTTTTAAATTCCCAAATTCCAGGACTTCAACTCTGGTCGTCTGACTTGTCTATGGCTATGTCCACCACAGCGTAAGGAGAGAGGAGAATGTTTGTGTTCATGCTCTGCACTTGTGAAGGGCTGGGTGCTAACTGGACACCAGCACCAAGTGTTCTCATGTTTTCAAGACTAGTAAAGGGATCAACAGATTTGTCTGATCCCCTTGAAATACCTAACACACTGGGATCATGATGGGCCAGGTTGAGGGTTTGCAGCCTGTGACCTCAGAAAAAAGTTCTGGGTCTTTGGCAGGGGGAGAGGGGCACACATGGAACTCATCTGACCATGGCCTCAGATCCAACCAGATCTAACAAGCCCTTTCTTTAAGAGAACCACTCTCAAGCTCATGCCTAAGGCTTAGATAAAAACCCACTTTTGTGTGGGACCAAATGGAAGAGCCAACTAACAAAGGCCACGAGAACTATAATGTTTCACTTGTAAAGAAAGGAGGGCTCAACAAAAATAGAAATGTTTCCAATAAATAAAGTTGACATTCCACTTTAATGACTACTCAAGCCATTCACACAGCAGACTAATTACTTCCAAATATTTAAAATACTTAGACTGGTTAATAATCAGTCAATGAGACTTAAGCGACTGGCTTTTTAAAATAGCAAATGAGGAAAAACCACAATGAAGCCATTACTCATTACTCAGTTTTGGCATAAGCCACATTCTTTGTCCTAAGAGAGTTAAGCAAGCAGAACTCCTAAGGCTAGAAAAATGCATCTGCATTGGATTAAACCAACCTGAATCGATACTATATTATGTAATATCGTATTACAAATTCATTAACTGGAACATCATATGAAAGTTAAAACGCATGGCCAGATATCAGATCCTCTGATAATGGCTTAGATTGTTTGATACAGCATCCAAGAACGTTCTGAAGGGAAACATCTAATCCTGCATCAACCCATCTCTATCACTGCCTCTTCACCAACCCCCAACCATTGTCTTTAATTCTTGAATCTTCATGTAGGAGCGTCTGGGAGTTAACTGCTATCCATTTAAATGATTGGGATATTTTAAATAAGAAATAATGAAAATTTGGTGGTAAGTCAAAGGAGTAGCTCAAAGCCAAAATAGGAAGAAATTCAAACAACTTCATTTTCTGCATACAGGACTAACTTCAGAAAGTCAAATCTGTACCTTCGACGACTCCCCTGAGTCACTGTAGCAGGAACAGGAACCACAGACAGTAATTAAGATCACTGCACATATATACAGCACTCCCACTCGCCTTCTGTTAGAAGTGGCTGAGCAAATGCTCACTTCTCCCACCGGGACTACAAGGGACCATGTTTTATACATCCTTGTGTCACCCATGCTCTCAAAACAGTGCCTTATATGCTGCAAGACTTTATTAAATGTTTGTTCTACTGTAAGGAATTCTATCATGTGTTGCAGCTAGGATACAGAAATGATTTAGCTTTATGATCCAATATCACAACTATATGTATTATATGAATCTATTTCTTACAAATAAAGGCTATTAGGAATAAAATGTTAACTAGAAACGCTAATGCCTAAAGCCTATATGTGAAAGCACTCTGAGGACTTTCTCGGAGGTACAGTACCAGCTAAGTTTCAGAAGGAAATCAAAAGGGAGATGTATGCTCCT